AAGGAAGAGGAGATTGAGAGGATTCCATTCCCGCAACCAATTCGGAAATAAGAGCAACGGAGAGGTTGGATTTTGGAAGGGGATCGGCGGCAACAGGCACGGCACGGCTCGGCTCTGGCTCTGGCTCTGTCCAAGCTGGAAGATGAACAGTAGCTCAGGGAGAGAAAGTAGACTTCTTGCCGGGCTTTTCTTTTCTCAGCCTGATTAGAAGAGGGAGCAAAACCAGACTTTGGCTGAGAGAAGAAGAGAGGATGCAGGCTCGGGTTGGGCCGGCGGAAGAGAGAGGAAGGAAAGGAATGGGCCGATTCAGCCTAAGACAAGGGAGGAGAATTTTATTACTTTTCCAATTAAAATAATCACTTAAATGATCTTTGAATTGTTAAAAATACTTCCAATGCTCAAATAATTTCAAGAAAAATCCTGAAAATACTTGGACACTCAAAGTACTTAAACAAATTATAATTAGACCATTTAATGATTAATTTAATATGTAGGTAATTACTGAAATGCTCTTTGTATGATTAAAATTAGGAATTGAGCTCCGAAAAATCCGAGAATATTCCAGAGAGTATAATTAACCATGGAGAATTTAATAAAAATTAAATCCATCCATGCTTTATATTTAGGAAATTTTATTTCCCACATTTAACTTCACTTGTAAATTAATGAACATTTAATATAACTTCTAATAATAATTTATTAAATAATTTATAAATCCTGAAACAAAAATCAGGATGTGACAATCTGGATGGGAGAAAGATTGTGCGTGCCTGATGACAAAGAGCTAAAAGATCTTATACTCACTGAGGCTCATCAGACTCAATACTCCATTCATCCGGGTAGTACCAAGATGTATCAAGATCTCAAAGAAAAATTTTAGTGAGCCAGCATGAGGAGGGAAATAGCTGAATTCGTCGCGCTCTGCGATGTTTGTCAGCTAGTTAAGGCAGAACATCAGAGGCTCGTAGGATTGTTACAACCTCTTCAGATCCCGGAATGGAAATGGGAAGAAATTGGAATGGATTTCATAACAGGTCTGCCCAGGACATCATCTGGCCACAATTCAATCTGGGTAGTCGTGGATCGACTTACCAAAGTTGCTCATTTCATTCCAGTGCATACCACTTATACGGGCAAAAGGTTGGCAGAGCTCTATCTCTCGAGAATCATGTGTCTGCATGGAGTACCCAAAAAGATAGATCTGATCGAGGGAGCCAATTCACTTCAAATTTCTGGCAGAAATTGCAAGAGGAATTGGGAACCCGGCTGAACTTCAGCACAACCTACCATCCGCAGACCGATGGTCAGACCGAGCGGGTCAATCAAATATTGGAGGATATGTTAAAGGCTTGTGCGCTTGATTTTGGTGGAGCATGGGACAAAAACTTGCCGTATGTGGAGTTCTCCTACAACAACAGTTACCAGGCTAGTTTGCAAATGGCACCGTTCGAAGCGTTGTATGGCCGGAAGTGCCGCACACCTCTCTTCTGGGATCAAACCGGCGAACGTCAACTGTTCGGAACAGAAGTGCTAACTGAAGCAGAGGAGAAAGTCAGAACCGTCAGAGAAAGGCTGAGAATTGCACAGTCTCGATAGAAAAGCTACACAGAAAACCGCCGAAGAGAGCTCACTTTTGAAGCAGGGGATTACGTGTACCTTCGTGTTACTCCGCTCCGGGGAGTACACCGTTTCCAATCGAAAGGCAAGTTGGCACCACGCTTCGTAGGACCATACAAAATCTTGGAACGAAGAGGAGAAGTTGCTTATCAGCTAGAACTTCCATCCAACATGATCGGTATCCATGACGTGTTCCACGTGTCCCAGTTAAAGAAGTGTTTGAGGGTACCCGAAGAACAAGCCGACTCGGAGCACATCGATATCCAAGAAGATCTGACTTATGTGGAGAAGCCAGTTCGCATCCTTGAGACCAGTGAAAGAAGGACTAGAAATAAGGTCACCAGGTTCTGCAGGGTTCAGTGGAGCCACCATTCAGAGGAAGAAACAACCTGGGAAAGGGAAGATGAGTTGAAGGCCGCCCATCCGCACCTCTTCGCCAGCTCTTCCGAATCTCGGGGTCGAGATTCCGTTTAAGGGGGGTAGGTTTGTCACACCCTGAAGTTCTTCTTCCAAGCCTAAATTGAATTTATAAATCACCTAGAGAAAATACCGGTGTCAAAGCAAGAGAAACCCTAATAAATTAATGCAAATAATAATCGAAATTGGCATGTGGGATTTTTCTTGAGTTCTACATGTCGAAATATGCTAACAAGATTTTTAGTGGAATTTTCAGAGCTCTAGAAATAATTTTAACCAATTAAAAATGAGCACAAGCATTATTTAATCCCTGGAAATTCTTCTCCTTTTTCTTTTTCTTCCTTTTCCCCCTCCTTTTCCCCAAATGGGCCGCCGGCCCATTTCCTCCCCCTCCCGCGCCTTTGCTGGGCCGGCCGAAGGCCACGGCCCAGCCGCTCGCCCGAGCCCCCCTCCCCCTCGGACGCTGACAGGTGGGGCCCACCTGTCAGGCCCATCCCTAACCTCCGGCCGCCCGCCGTCCGCAGCCGCCGCCTCACAACCGCCCGCGCCCGCCTTCCCCGCGCCACGTCGGCCACGCCCGCGCGTGCGTCCACCCCTCCCGCACCCCTCAAACCCCTCTCCCGCTCGCCCGCGTCCCCGAGACAGCCGGGATTCGAATTTTGAATCCCGCCTCTCTCTCCACCTCCACCTCCCCACGTCGGCCGGTGAAATCGGGCCACTCCCGGTCGTTCCTGACCTCTCCGCCCCTATATAATCCATCCCCGCATCCTCCTCCTCATTTTTCCTTTTTCCGCCGGCCTCTCCCGAGCTCTCCATCGCTCCCGCACCGTGCACCCACCCGCCGCTGCCTCTTTCACTACTCCGGCAAAGTGTGGGATATCAACTAGTTACATGTAATGGCTAATGACCTTCTTAAGTGGTAGTACCTCACATCTGTCGAATACCAGGCAATATCTTTCTTACACCTGATGGTTCAAAAATATGCAGTGCTAATGATTTATCAGGCTTTGTTTTGGATTTAATATAATGTACTCTACATACAGAAAGTCTGCATATTTATAGGCACTTGAGTGGGGGCCTTCTTCCGCTAGCATCTACAAGATTTGATCGTTCACGATTAAGATTTCCAGATGTGTGTATGTCCTAGTTGTTTAGTAATTATTTTATGGTGGCTAGCTAGCATCATATGTTCAAGTTTGCAGTTAAAAAGTTCAGTTTGTACCATTGAACTGAAGATGTTGGCTCAGGAAAGGTGTTCTTTTGCTGTATGATGATGCTTGTGGTGCATTTCTGTTCTTCTTTTTATAATGCAGTGCAACCCTTTATTATTACTCCCTTCTGTTAATTGTTATTCTGACATGACTAGTCTGGTTTGGCTACCTATGCAATCATGGAGTCTTAAACATTATTCTGTTAAAGGAAGTAGAAGTAGCTTCATTCCACATTCATCCCAATCGCAATGGTTTGGTTGTTTGCAAATTAATGAGATGCCTCCAGTAGTCATGCTATTAATAAGTAATCTCCATTTATTTTCTTTTATTGTCCTCAGCAGCTTCATTCTACTAGTATGCATGTCAGAAATGCCATTTATGTCTTACGGGTATACAATGGTATGCTGACGAATTCTCTTTATCCAGCTTGTAGATATATCAATGCGTTATCTTAAAATCTGATTCAAAAAGCCATTTCAAATTAATCAGATACTGACCAAATCAAACAACCGATTCTGATCAAACTAAACAACCAGATTTTGATTCTAGATGATTTACTGCCACCTGATGTCTTAAGATTACCGGCGTTGTTCCAAATATCAGAAAATACCAACCATAGTCCATAGAAACTCAGAATAGCCTTAACCTCAAGCTCTGTAGTAGGCACTAGGCAGTAAAACATCGCCCCTCGCCACCATCACCATGGCCACGGCCATGAGAGAAGAAGGGGAGAGGGGGTAATGACATTTGGGTCCCACCACTCACTGACATGTGTGGGCCCAATATATTTGTTTTTATTTTTTACCTTACCAGATTCCCACTGACATGTGCATCCTATTAGGGGTTTTGTTTTTAAATTTTGTTGGTATAGTGCCACTTAAGCCGCCACATCGGACGAATACAAGTCAATAAGCGCCATGTTAGTCGAAACCGTTGGTAATTCAATTGAGGGACTTGATTTACACCCGTATTAGAAGTTGTTACCCTTCATACCTAGTTTTACAGTTGAGGAAATTAAACTCAACTTATAGTCGAGGAACATCCAATGGACCTTTTTCCTTTACCAAGCCAATCTGTGCTTGCAAACATGCATGCCCAACTTGAGAAGCCAACGCCGACAGCGGACCCCTCTTGCTCCACCCTCTCCAACCTCCGCCGTGACCTCTCCCGGCCGGTCGCTGTCGCCGGGCCTCACTCCCTCCCTTGTGCGCGTATGGGAAGGGGAAGAGGAGCCAAGGATGGGAGGAATAGAGAAGAAGAGAGGAGGAGAAAAGCAAGAGGTAGGGGGAAGAAAGCAAGATAGAAGGGGAGATAGAGAAGAGAGAGGATGAGTGAAGGAGGTGGGTCCATTGACATGTGGGTCACACTATTTTCTTATTTTATTGTTTGACTAACATATTGGCCTATGTATTTTGTTTTTTAAAAAAAATGTTAAATATTACTTCATGTGCCACATTAATGCCACGTTAAATGAAGACGGAGTCAACTTAGCCACGTAGATGCCACGCCGGCTGAAACCACTGTGCAATCTCCAAACTTGGAATCTATATTGCACCGATTTTGACCATTGAGAGACGTATTGCAGTTTAAGAACGAAAATCAAACTAGCGGTCAAGTTAAGGGACCTAAATTGAACTTATTCCTTAAAAACGTGAGTTCCTCAAAGCTGAACGGGCCGGATTCCAAACAAGGCCCAACACGATTTTTTTTTCTTTTCTCTTTTTACACAAGGAGAAGAAGGCCGGGACCCGGGACGTATCTTTCATCGACTCGGTTCTCTTTCCTTTTCTACCCCCACCGAAAAAGGAAAAACAAAGAAGAAAAAAAGCTATGGCTTCTTCGTCGCTGCTCCGATCCGCCGGCGGCGCGCTCCGGCGGTGGATCCCTCGGCGCCTCTTCCCCAGCACCAGCTACCGGGTTTGGTTCGGGAGGAGACAATCTGGCTATGAACAGGCGTTCGCGGAGAGCCCGCGGCGGCGCCATCTCGGCTCCGATTGCGGCGGAAGTACCGACGACAATCAGGTATAAATCTCTTCCTCTTCCTCCTCTGGGAACCCTAATTCCCTACGGCCTATGTTCTTTTTTTCCTCGAACATCACAAAAGGATTGCACATCAATATATTAGAAGAAAATAATATCTGTTACACAACGCAATTAGCCAGACCGACTTATGCTAAGAAGGAAAAAAACAAAAGACCAAGGAAAGCAACTGGTTTACTACCACTCTAAACAGCGGGAAGGGGCAGAACCCACTACTCTCCTAACAAAACCCCAAAATTAGTAATGACAGCTAACGACCATAGATGGCCCTCTGAGAGGATTGACCGTAGGACCTCCGAGACCAAAGATACGGCCCATGTTCGGTTAATCCTCAAGTGGGGGTGATTGGTTGGAGGGGATTATTCCACACCTAAACCAAACAAGGCCGACATGTGTGTGAATTCATCATTCTAGTGAGTTTTGTTATGGGGAATCAGGGCCAGGATTAAACAGATTTAGTTTTGTTTGTTCCATTCGGATCAACTTCGAATTATAAGATGTGGGTGAGAGTCAATCGATAGCCTAATGCGAGCTTATGAGAGTGGTAGCATACAGCATACTAGCACGGCCTGATTCACGAAAAGGAAAAAAAAACAAAATGAAAGCATTGCCTGTAGTTAAAAAAAATTATTCCTGCTGATGGGGAGCAAAGGTTGTGATATTCACCATACGCCAGATTTTAGTGCAAGCTAATGTTTTGTTCCATCTGTCCAGAAACTTTTCTCAATGGATGGCTTGATGAAGCATGTACTTTTAAGCAAACTTGTTGTAGATCCAGACAAACTTTTCGTAAATTCTGAAAATGAGTAATTCTAAGAAAAACGGCGTCACTCTAAATGTCCTGAAAATGTTATATGTATGTCCATCGTCCTGACTAGTCTTTTTGTTTTTGAAAATTCTTTTTAGATAATGTCCTGGCTAGTCAATTAAAATGCAGAAATTAATGTTTCCACAAATCCTTTGCACAAAAAGACCTTCCACTGTTTGGGTGTGGAATTATTTAAACTGCTTATTTAGTTCAAATTCGTAAGGATTTGAATCCAAATCCCCAGTATTCAAACATGCCGTTAGTGGATAAAATATATCACTCCTTGTACTTCACTTTGCTAATTTAAATTACATAAGAAAAAATAATGGGAGTAGTGGGCACTACCAAAGGAGGGAGATATCTTGTTGTGGACAATTTCAACCATTTCTTGCAAACTATCATGTTCAAAACTTCAAAATGAAAATATTCACCACAGGTTTTTATTGTCTCCAACAGCTGAAAAGATTTCACAACCAATGTCAACAAGAAAAATCCTAATCATAAAGTGGTCTTAGCAGAAGAACTTGGCAGCCTTATCATGCTGATAGTTTAACAGTGAGCCAGTGATTGACAAATAAATCTTACTCCCTCCGTTTCATATTATAAGACTTTCTAGCATTGCCTATATGCATATAGATATTAATGAATCTATACACATATTTGTCTAGATTCATTAACATCTATATGAATGTGGGCAATGCTAGAAAGTCTTATAATATGAAACGGAACGGAAGAAGTAAAACAGTATATGCGCAACTACCTTCAATTGAACAAAATGATGTTTGTCACAGAAAATAAAAAGTACAGTCCGCACATGAAAATGCCACACGAAGATCGTGATTAATATTGTAGCACACACTGTCAAAGCGAAAAATTGAACTCTTAGATCCTTATGCTGCAACTGTTTCTTTACAACTTTTAACACATTCTTCATTTGCCTTATTCAAAGTGGCAAATTTTCTAGTAATCAGTGTTCAGATATAACTTAATCTGGATAACATTCCATCTATAAATTGTTTTAGGGAGAAAATGTGGCTTAACAATTCAAATAGTAGATTTTACTAATATAGTGGAATAAATAAAACATATGTTGTGTTTAATGATTCAGTGTCTTGCATTGCACTATTGCAAGTGAATTTCCACATTTGACATAGTTAAACTATATCTGACACAGAAGTCAAAACGTCAAATGCATTTTTTTACCATGAACAGTAACTTGAATTTAAACTGGTATACCTTCAGACCTTGTTATTTTCATTAATGGAAATAGGAAGCGCTTAAAACTAACCACTAAATCTATATATTTACATGGAAAATCTTCCTGACATAGGTAGCATGGCCTGATTATACCAAAAAAAAAAGAAAGAAAGAAAGATAGCATATGCTGATATTGTGTACACCAGATGCAAGTTAATGTTTTTTTATTCTATCTGTCCAGAAACGTTACTCAATGGATGAATTGTTGAAATGCAAAAGGCAATTAGAGAAGAACAAGGAGGGAGCTTTTAGGCCCGCTGACATTCCAGACCATGAAAGCAAGAAAGACGAGCTCTATAGAAAGATGAGATCGACTTTTGACAAGCTGTGCCACTGCTTAGATGAGCAGGAACATATACTTCGAGAAATTGAAGATCAAGTTGACAATGATGAAAAGTGTGTAGTTCAGTTCATTGTTTTGGACACATGTTTTTTGTTCCCTTTTCCTAATAATGCTTCTTTTTGTACATACAGGTTTGATCAAGTCAAACAATATCTGGTGGCGATCCCTAGCTTCGTTTGTATTGGTCTTATTCTTGATAGGATGCATATGTTTGGTTGAGAGATTGTGTTATGACTTTTGACTTTTGGCTAGTTAGTGTACCCGAGGTATTGACCACGCTATATAGGACTTGGTTGTGGACACAGCAAATCAGCAATATACTCTGTGATGTGATCTGATTGATAAAGGTGTAAGTGGGTAACCCGTTTATTTTGACTTATAGGTGGGTTCATGGGTTAGCCACTTATCCTTAATGATTGACCTCATTGATGTTAGAGAGACCGCTACTACTTGTATGATCGTTTTGAACGAAGGAAATAAGGAAGCGCAATTCAAAGGGATCTTATGATTGCCTCGTTTCTTTTTTCCTTTGGAAAGCAGTGTCTTGTGATTTTCGAATGCTGATTTCCACTTTTCTGCCAAGCATAAGTAATTTTTTTGGCAAAAAAAAAATCAAAAAAACTGCAAGTTGATCAATGTCTCAACAATTGTTCATGCTCACTGCATTTCAATCGATAACAAGTGTTAATCTGTGGTTTTCATTTTGCCTTGTGGATCAATTAGTAGTTCCTAGAAGGGCTCCATACTAGGGCTCACCGGCTACCACACTGTCGAGAAGTCAGCCGCGGGGTGTCCTATACATTGTAGGAGTAGAATGTTATCCAGTATAAGATGATTTTGTAATTAATTGGCGTCTAGCAAAACTAAATTAAAATAAAGAAACAAACTAAAAAAAATTATCCAAAACAACAAATAAACTGTCCCTGCAGTCACTGCATCATACCTCATGTGGGCTGGGCCTGAAAACAAGGTCACCGACGGTTTTCTCCTGCGCTGCGGAGGATTCAGGCGATAAGAGCAAGTTACAATTCATCTATAGCCAATCTAATAGCCAATTCATACAATAATTGCTTACTATATTATTAATGTATGGTCCCACCTGTCATACCCACATTGCGTCTTAGAGTCCGTGCTACAGTTGGCTACAGATGTGTAGCCCGTTGCTCTTCTCTCTCATCGTTTATCTTATTAAAATATGTTTATAGCTGATTAATAGCCTGATATTGTACCTGCTCTAGTGCCGTAGAGCCCTTGAAAAGAGGAGGGGAGAAGGATTCGCCGGGTTGATTTGAATAACTGCTACATATCGGGTTCCTGCACGACGCTAGCGCTGCCTCTTCTGCTAAAAGTAGCACTTACACACGATTTTTTAAAATTTGTTTGCTTTAATTAATTTTCTAGGTTTAGGGTTAGGTCTCGAGACTCCAAGAACAGCTTCGATTCCTCAGTAGGAGGAGGAGGAGGATGGCTTCGTCGTCTTCGTCGTCGTTGCTCCGATCAGTCGCCCGCGAGCTCCGGCGGTCGATCCCTCCGCCGCGCCCGCGCCCGGCCATGTCGGTGATGGACCGACTCGCCCCGCGTCTCCTCAGCACCGAGTCCTCTAACCACAAGATGAACCCCTCCTCCTCCTCCTCGCCGCTTCTGGACAACTTCTTCCGCTCCGATCGCGCTAAGAGGATGGATACCAGTAAGGTATAATCATCTCCTTCTTCTCCCCCTTTGTTTTTCCCAATAGATTGCACCGTAGTTAATTTCCCACGATTTGTCTCTTGCAACACCAAGTGTGTTTCTTCATTCAGTCTTGGGAGGAGCTCCCTTATCAGATGAAAAAAAAGACAAGTACATAGAAAATAAATAAGCGCATTTGGTCTTCTTTAATTAAGATAGAGGCAAAAGAAAAAAAAAGAAAGATCAATTTTGGGGGAAAAAATTACTTTTAAAGCTCAGCTAATGTAATGCCTAATGATATGTCACCTTGTTTTAAGTGGTGCCTCGACTTATCTCACATTTGTCTGATACATGGCAAATTCTTCTGAAAAAGATATTATGAGTTTATGTTTATGACCTACAGGATTTGATGATACTAATCCATGTTTTATTCTGTCTTCCTAGGTTCAATTCTCAAAGGACGACCTTAAGGAATTTGATAGGTATTTGGATGAGAGGACGAAGCAAGCTGAGAGGAACTTGTTGCTGTCTCTGGACAAGTTCTGTGATGCCTGTGAAAGACGGGCTTCTCTGCTTCGAGACATCAAAGCGATGTTAGAGGCTAGAAATAAACGGTCTGCCCAAAAGTAAGCTTTGACTTTATTTATTTGGTCATATATGCTATGCACATATATTCCATTCATTCCTTTATATCTTTCTTCTTTTGACATTGCAGGTTTCTTCTTGTTAAGCAATGGGCAGTGTTAATTTCTTACTCCTCTGTTCTTGGTTTTGCTCTTTATAATCTGCATTTGTTTAGTTGAGAAGAAAATGTCAGCTGCAAGCTCTATGACCCTTTGCTATTAAAGTATGATTGTGTTATGAGCTTGTGGTCAATGTCTTATCAGGCTTTGCTTTGGATTTAATGTACTCCGTATACTGAAAATCTCTATATCTATAGAGATTTGCTCCGGTCCAACAAAAAAGTATCTCGAGATACCAGTACCTCGAGGTACTTACTTTTTGTTGGACCGGAGCAGATCTCATATCTATAGGCACAGGAGTGGGCCTTCTTCCGCTAGCATCTAGAACATTTGATCATTCACGATTACGATTTCCAGATGTGCTTATATCCTAGTTTTCAGTTTTTTTTTTTTGGTGGCTGGCTAGCATCATGTGTTCAAGTATGCAGTGAAAGAAAAAGTTTAGTTAGTACCATTGAACTGAAGATGTTGGCTCAGGAAAGAAGGTGTTCTTTTGCTGTATAATGATGCTTGATTGCTTGTGGTGCACTACTGTACATTTAATTTGTTTTGTTGTCCTCGGCAGCTTCATATGCATGAAAGAATTGTCATTTCTGTTTTATGGGGGTATATACATATATGCTGATGATATTTTTTATCCAGCTTGTAGATATATCAATATAATGCATTATCTTAAATCCTGATTCAAAAAGCCACATCAAATCAACTCCGTCGCCAGATTCATAGTTCGACTATCTCAAGTGAAGTTCTTTTAATAGTTTACTGTCATAATTGCTTTTAGGTTGCACTGATTAAGATTTTGTTATAGGCTCTGTTTATTTTGTTAATGACTAGTATCAATAATTGTATTTTTATCACGCTGTTTAGTTTGGTTAATACTATTTGATTGGAATTTTCTACGCTTCACCTTTTTTTTTCGACCAGCCTGCTTCAGTTTTTTGTTTTCTGGCATGCTTCTCAGTTTAGTAATGCTTCAGAGCAATCTGTTTAATAAATAGGTACTAGACATTTTCAATTATGCTTCGCATTTCTTTACAAAGCATCTTTACATATCTGTGTTCAGTTCACCTCAGAAAGAAACCTATATGCTTTGTTTTAGCATAATCTATCAATAAAGTTCCTGATAGCCTATTTGGGGTTTTCTTAGTTCTAAAGCTGATAATGTTTTCCTTTGTGGACAATTTCTGTACCTGCGTCTTACTCTCGAGCTGTGTGTAAAATCTCGGAATTTCTGGCTGTCAACGTGGTGCGTACTGTGATATATAATCACATGTTTGGAATTTACAAATCAGCTGCTGCCTTTTTTTTGTTTGATCCGGTGTTCTTAGATAGCAAGAGAAGCACATGATGATTGGTATGCATTATATATATTGTTGGGTTGCCATGTTAATTAAGTGATGGGCTCTTGATTAATCATGTGACAAAGGATGGTGCGCACTTGGTATATTAAGGCCCAAATCGAATTCTTGTTGGACCTTAATTTAGCTGGTGAAAGGATTAAAATGTAGTAAAATCGAGTCCAATTCATCCCAATCCATTCAGATACATTCTCTCACCAACAATTTGCCTCATTTAAATCTCTCCTTTCCCCAACTTGAAGAGTCACTGGTATGTGGGTTCATAGCAAAGAGAACCGATATGACAGTGAAAGTAAGTCGGCTTAAGTCAAAGTATCTGAATCGCATCTTGAGAGCTTGGTGCCTAGGGTGGTAGCTAGCGAGCTACAATGAGTAGGGTAGGGCAACTAAAAGGTTCAAAATGATTTTGTAAAGTATTGCAATCACTTATTAGATTTTGAGTAAAATGCACCGGTGGTATTACAACTTGCAAGGTGAGGGTAGTTTAGTCACTCATTTTGCAAATTGCTTAAATAAGTCACTTATCTTCCTTAGATGGTGCAAATCCTACCAAATACATTGTCATATGGATTGTTTGTTTTTAAATTGAAAGTTGTATTGACCCAATCATGCATTTTTTTAGCCATGTGGGCAGGGCAAGCATTAAAATTATAAATTAACACTCGTATTTTTTATGTATATGCTATTACTTCTACTTTCAATAAACAAGATCATATTTTTAGTCGCATTGCACATTGGCTTATTTATGGATCGTGTGATCATGTTTGTAAACAAATTGACATAGCATATAACTTCATTGCAGACACCCCACATGACACATGTTCTATGTGATTTGCACCCCTAAAACAAGATAAGTGACTTGTTTGAGCATTTTACAAGATGGGTGACTAAATTACACCTATCTCACAAGTTGTGGTACTAATGGTGCATTTTACTCAGCATGTAGGAACTTTAACAAAAGGTCTACCGTGCATATATAAATGGATGACTTTTTAACTGTGACGATATGCATCCATCAGAATATCAGATTGACAGCACCACTGCATGCACCAAGTGGAGAGCATAAATCCTCAAATATATGTCACAAATACCAGAAATCATGACCTTTAATTTGATTCCATCGGTATCATTCCCCTATTATAATTAGATCCCAGCATACAATCAAACACAGACAACAGTTTATTCCATTGGATGCTCCTCTACTTCGTTTTCTCAATAGGAAAAAAGCTAATTATTTGGGCTTCAGTAGTAATGCAGCGACGGAGATTTGTCTGATGAACAATCAAAACAGACAGGAACCATGTGTCCATGTATTCTTCTCTGACCATCGATCACGATCGATCGCCAAGTGGTTCGTCGTCGGAACTCCAGCTTCGGTCGACGGCATCGTTGTCGGCTGCGATGGCGATTCACATAATGTGGGCAAAAGATGATGATTATGAAAGGGCAAATATATGGCCATCGACCACATCGCATATAGCTCCATAGTGCCGACAGAGTTCATGTCTAAAGGTATCTCAGGCTCCGTTATTTTCAGTTTTATTCATCTGAATTATTGCCACGGATTATTTTCTTGATGCTTCTGAAAAAAACGGTTTGTCCAAATAAAGTTTGATTTGATTTCCTGTTGTTATATTTGCTAAGTTCATTTCTCAAAATATTGAATTTATCCATATAATCGAGAGTAGATAATCCGCGATAATAATCTGATGAATAACAAGTTTGAATTTTGATATGTTGTTGTTGCTGCAATGCATCTGATCAAGCCACTGTCCTTTTTCCCAAATCATGGAGGCATTCATTATGCATATTCCTCTGGAAACAAGCTAGTAGTATAGCTTAGTAGTCATGGTGATCACCCATGGATCCATCACCAGGTTCACTGAATCTGTCTGGAAATGCGGGGCAAGTTCAATGGATCTCTGCACGGTTCAGACGTTCAGTTTGGTACATTCCGCTGTCCACCCACCGCAGTGTGGATGCATGCATGGTCGGCCAACGACAGAGAAGAAGACCTTACATTACACACACTTAATAACCTTTTGAAGGAAAAGTGCTAATTAAGGAGGAGATAACACACGCTAACCTTAGCTACTTCCTCCGTTTCACAATCTAAGTCATTATAGCATTTCTCATATTCATATTAATGTTAATGAATCTAGATAGATATATATGTCTAGATTCGTTAACATCAATATGAACGTGGGAAATGTTAGAATGACTTACATTGTGAAACGGAGGGAGTACTTGGCATTTCTAAATTTCTTATTGCAACAAAATTAACCTTAAACCATCAGTGCCAAATCATGTTCCTATTGTGTATATGTACGGGAAGTTGGTCGTGGTGAGACACCTAGGCCCACCCTCTTTTGGATTGCTCCTAGCTTCACCTATTTCAGGATCTTCAGCTCTTCTAAATAGTCGGCTCGACATTACAAGTGAACTAACATATATTACCCATTGAAATTATATAGTGAATGGTTATATTAATTCAGTTGTTCAAAGGTGCTTATAGGCATAGAGGGTGTGATTAATTGTACCGCATTTCTAAATGAATTGAATCCAAGTATTCCAAATGGGATACAAATACACAAATGCAGGAATTAATCCCGAGTTAGGTATATACCTCGTATAATCGTATTATTCACGGTACAGTGACTCTACCTTAAGTGTGGGCTGCACAGTTTTTATGCCAAGAACAGGTCTGAATCTGATAAGTTCGATTGTGCAGTGAGGATAAGAGCACGTGTTATAGCTTATCTTCAACGTGATTGAACACTTAACTTTACTTTGTTATGTTTCAATTCATTTTAATGATATTAAGACAAATGGCCAACTATAACCAAATCTTGTAGGCAACAGAACAATATTAACAAGGTACTATAGTAGTGCATATCTTACCGTGATATTATCCAAAATCTTTTTTACTGCACGCTCTCCAAATAGCTCCCTATATCCCAATCCTTCTATAATTTATTATGCCAACAACGTTGGGTCAAATTATAGAGTGATGAGATAGAGAGCTGCATTTGGCTCCTCACATTTAGAAAGCTCGGAAAAGGGAGAACTAGGGAGTGTGATAGGATAGAGAGCTCACCGAAGGATGCCTTGGGCTTGTATTTGCTAAATTTTGGGTAACAAGGCCACTTAGAGTTGCCCTAATCAGATGCTTCCCACAAAAGCACACACGCGTTACTATGCGACACCTTTAATTAGAAATACACAAATATATATTTTACTACTTTTTAGAACAAGACCCCCCTTTAGATTGTAGGCGAGGCATAACTTCTCCCACATGCAAAAATTGCTCCCTAGATTGAGCCCATCCTTAAAATATCAAGTCCCTACTCTCTATCCTCATCCTCATTCTCTCCACTCTCCACCCTCCACTTCCTCTCCACCTCTCACCTCCTCCTCCTCCTCCTCCTCTCCTCTCCGTCAGCGGTGGGCTAGAGCAACCGCCGTCGGAGGGATCTGGCGACGAACGGGAGCGGGAGCGACGGGGAGCTTGGCAGCATCGGATTCAGCGGTGGTGAGCTCGGCGGTGGTGATTGGAGGCGGGGATGGTGTTGGCGACTGCAAGGATGAAACCCAGACGCAGGAGCTGCTAGGGTTTCAATTTTTTTTGGGAGTTTTTTTTTGCCATTTTTCTTTTTGCAGTCAGACGGCTTAAGCGTCTGCATGTGGAAATACAATTTTCGCATGTGGTTGCTCTACCCGCATAAAAAATACTGATTTTTGCAGATACCAGATGCAGATGATGGGCTACCCACCCGCCTGCGAGAATCAATTGGGACTGCATGGAAAAATCATTTTTATAGTAATATACTCCTTTCGATTATAAATATTTAAATATTTGGTGTTTAGCACAAGATATGATCACTTTAAAATTTTGATATCTTTTAGTAATTTTCACGAAACGATAATTACAGAAAATAAGTTTATCACAAAATGTAACTTTATCCCCCTATGTGTGTATGATATGCGAGCCTGACTTACACCGGCATGAGTATTACATGTTTAAGACATGTGGGCCAGAAGCTTTTGGACAAATAAAGTTACAAATTTCTTATAAAATCATACTCTATTATTACAACTCAATGAAATGTCTAGTTAAATTTAAAGTTGAAGTAAACTAATAATTTTGATAAAATAGTTACAATAACCTGAAATTTACTCTAATTT